CAGTTCGAACGCAAAGTGTGCTGTACAAAAAACAAAGAAAACAAATATTAAAAATCTAAACTTTAAAGAGCGGGGCGCAAAAAAATGCAAAATATGTGCCATTTTTAGCAAAGGCACCAGTAACTGATGCGTGATTTGGTTCGCGCAAAGCTGTGCGCGTCATTGTAGTTTTCATTTTTGACGTTTTTTAACTAGCTGCTGATGCAGATGGGATGGTGTAGTGGAACAGAGGGAAGAAGAACAGGAAGAGGGGACGGGACGAAAAGAGAAAATGAACTAAAATCAGCGGGAGTAAAAAATCCAAGCCAAAAATCAAAAAAACAGTGTTTCATGTTTAAGGGTAAAAAACCGGCTCATGACCAGAAACCGATGAGTGAGATAATTACGGATTCGGCGGCACTGAGCCGTACCAAATTTAATTGAAGAGACCTCCATGATACTGAAAACGGACCAGTGATGAGTAACTATGATTCGCTGATAAAGTTGATGACTTACTTGAGATTTACATCTGGAGAGCTGATGTATGTAAATGAGTTTGGGTGACTCCGAGCCAGCAAACGTCGCGAAGTAGTCTCCTTTGTGATGCCACACTACCTGACGTGCAACCTAAATTTTCGCGAAGCTTAGCTCAGATTCAAAGTCATATATGATGGACATATAAGATTAAGCAAAAAGCACTTAGAGCAGTGCACTAACAATTCTTAAAAATTTAGGGCATGGGCGCCGTTTTTAATTAACGGACTAATTTAATAAGCGAATTTTTAACTAGATTTATTGAAAAATAAATAGCAGCGCGCACCAAACTATCCGGTGCGATCATGCGTTTTGTGCAATTCAGCTCATCGAAAGACTGCCTATTAATGATTTTCACAGCTCTGTACTTTAGTCTATGCAGAAATAGTTCAAACATTGGAAAACAGTTAAAAATTTCACACACCAGTGCATGAAAGCTGAATTCGAAGCCTTGAAGGGTGAATATCTTTCCGTGACCCCCGAGTTA